AGTTTTGGCAGCCTCATACAAGAAATTATCTTCTAGCACGTAGTTGCATCCTGAGGTGGTCCAAGAGAATTGTGCCAGAGCTTCATTCTGGGAGTGCTACATTTGTGGTTGTACACAGTAGTAATATTGTGGAAATGTTCTGTTGAATAAAGCATTGTGAGGGAATATGTGAGCATGTTGTATATGCAGAAGCAAGAAAAAAAAAACTCTTTGGTAAGTATGAAGAGGGTGGCAGCATCATTATTGCCTGTGCACCAAAAAGCGATGGAGTGTAACAGACCTCAACAAATATTAGTCAGGATTTGGATTTTAATGTGAAATGTGCCTTTAATCATGGTTTCATTATTGTATATTTAAATAAAGTATTTACATAATAGACTGAAATGGAACCAGTACTGAAAATAGATCTTTTTTTGTATTAAACTCCAGCAAAGAAAAAAGAAGCAGCCATGAGAAAAGAAAAACTWTAAAAGAAGAAGAAGTTAAAAATAGATGCACAACTGTGATTTCTTTTTATTGAGCTAGTCTCTTCTTTTGAGTGCCTCTTTTCATGACAAATATGTTCATGTGAGGTGAATTCTGAATGAGTAGGAACATTTTTCCTGAAAAAAAAAAACCCTCCCAAAGCCTACAGCTCTTGGCAGAGAGCTCTGAGAGCTGAGCAACCTGTTATCACCCAGGATTGACAGCACAGCAACAAACACACACCTGCTCACACTGTTTCATTTAAGTCCGCTGCACATGTTTAGGCAACAAGAGGCTTTTTCTTCAGCCATGTCTAGGTTCGTAAAAGTCACTCAACACWATGAAATATGTGTCAGCATTAAAAAAGTGAGAGAAAAAAAGTCTTCCAGTCAAATTCTTGTAGTAGAAGAGGCAGATGAAGCACAGCATCCAGGGGTGGGGGTGGGGTTAGCTCAGTCTAAAGCCTTACAGCATGTGCACATCCTTTTAGAGTCAGCAGGTTGTGGTGTTCAGGGAATCCTGTTTTAGAAAACTTACTATGTGGGTGTTTGGTTGAGAAGCTAAATATGTAAAGATGTGATTGATAAGGGCTTGAACTAAGTATGAGTACATTTAAAGGCAGATGATTTCCCTGTGGGGGGAAAAAGTTACATTTTACTGCTTGAAAATATTAAAGCACATGTCAAACTCAAGGCTCGTTGGCCAAATGTGGTCCACTACAGCATTTTATGTGGTCCACAAGAGATTCAAAGATGTATTAATGTCTTAAAATAAGCTGAAGTGACTTTAAAGCCAGCAATGGCCCATAACTACATCTCCCATRAGGCATGTTGATTATTTTACCTGCAAAATGACTGCTTCTCATCACTAGGAGAAGGGTTCAAAAGTAACCAGTCGGCAAATTTTACAAAGTAAATTCTCCATTTGGCTACATTTTTGGCTTCTTTTGCTGTAGCTCAGCTGTATGGGAAAGTGGGAATTTCCCATTTACAAGCTGTAAATCTAAACTGGAACAGTGGGAATTCTCTGTTGGAAAGTGGGAGAGTTCAGAATTAAAGATGGCAGCTACTCACCACAACTCAACAGTGAGTAAAACTCTATTAWTTTTACTTTAAATAGTATTTCTCTATTATTTATTTCACATTTAGTCAGCTGTATTTGTGTTCATAATAAAGCACAAAATACCACATAGAGTTCAGCTGCTGTGTTGTTTCATATTTAGTTAAAATAAAATGTGAAACATTGAAATGAATTACAACTGGCCCTTTGAGGGCCACCATGATGATCATCAGGGAAAATCTTAATATGTTTTCCACAGGTAGTCACTTTCCAACCTCCATTTTTTTTCATTTTTACACCACTGTCTTCTGTTTCCATTGATTCCACGTTTAGTATTGACCTCCTGTTTTCTTTATGCTACTTCTAGTTTTACTCATTCCTGGGCAACAGACACATTACCGACACATTAAAAGGCTTCCTGCTCATCTGTAGTCCTAAAAGTGAAGAGCCCAATCATACTTTAATGTGGAAAAAGCCATCTGTTCCCTGTTGAGAGCACAAAAAACAGAATATTTGCAGAGAGAGAAGAAAACATTAAATCAAGCAAGTAAAAAAATAAAAAATAGCAGCTCCTAAGTCATGCAGTCTAATGATTACCCTAGTATACACACACACACATTAATTACTTAGTCAGCCTCCAACATATTCAAATAGTCTCCTGCTCCTGACACTTTTGAACCCCCTGATGATGAACCTGAAGTATACCAGATACCACATGTACCTGCCTGTAGTAACTGATGTACTTGGTAACTATAGTACCTGATATACCAAATGTACCTGGTACCTGTAGTACCAAATGTACCTGCCGGTAGTACCAGATGTACTTGCCTGTGGTACCAGAAGTACTTGGTACCTGTAGTACCTGATATACCAGATGTACTTGGTACCTGTAGTGCGAGATGTACATGCCTGTAGTACCAGATGTACCTGCCTGTAGTACCAGATGTACCTTCCTGTAGTACCAGATGTACCTGCCTATAGTACCTGATATACCAGATGTACTTGGTACCTGTAGTACCAGATGTACATGCCTGTAGTACCAGATGTACATGCCTGTAGTACC